GGAAAGAGGCTTGAAAAAACAGCTTTACACCCTTCAGGAAAAGAACAGCTATGACTTCAGCGTTTTTGCTATGAAGCTGAGAGCTGAAGGATATTGGAATAGTAGGAGTTTCGGAATGGCACGCTTCCCTTGATTTAACTTCCTAGCTTTTATTCTAGTAATGTACACCTCAAATATTTTTTATGAAGTCATATTTATTACATACTTGATTTCATGATTTTTGAAAGTCAGTTTAATTAAAGACAAAACCCAAAGATCTGAAAAAATCCAACTATTTAATTGAATTAGAAGGACAATTAAATCGTGCTTTTTTGTAGTTGTTACAAAGACAGATGTTGCAGATATTTGTTGTAAAACAACAAAATATAAATAACTTATAGCTAATAAAGTTACCTGAGGAGTGTAATGCTAGTTTATTTTTGAGTATATCTTAGCAATATATTTTAGATATATTGTTTTAAAGGACCCTAAAGGACATTCTTAACTCTGCATAGCACGTGTACAGAGCAGTTGTGCAGGAAGGACTTTGTGGTATTGAATAGCTAAATACTAGCCTGAAATGATGGAAAGTGCGACACTGTGCCTGTGTGCTCGCGCGTACGTGTGTGTGTGCTTGACACAGAAATCAATAGTAGAAGAATCTCCAAATGTTCGCCAAATTACTCTGGTTTACCTTGTACGTAAAAAAATCAAAACGCCTTTTTTCATGGAGTTACAATGATGTAACTGGGTGGTCCTTTTTAAACAACAAATGATTTGCATAACAGAGGGTATTTGTTATTAAAGCTTTTGTAAATAAAGGCCTAAGAAATGTTTTCTTACATAACAACACACTGGTGGTTTTGTTGCAAAATTTTTCCTGGTGTATTTAGTCAGTTCAGTTCTGCATTCTGGTTCATTTAGGCATGACAGTTCTCTTCCATGTGCTTACAAAGTGATGTAACTCGCTGCTCCCTGACTGATTCCATTTCCAGTGCAGAATTCTCTTCGTGTGTTTCCAGTCACTTCATTCCTGCTCATGTAAGTTGCAAGAGTGGTGGTTACAATTTACTATGGAGGCATCCAAATCCCATTAGTAACTGATTTTAATACCATTATGCATTATATGACGATGGTTACGTTTTAACTTTGATTGCCTTTGGCTTTAATAAGATAGGGACTATATAATGAAAAACCAGGATGGATTCTTACTGTGTGTTACATGGAACATTTGCATACACGTGGAATGAAGAACCCCTGAAGTTTGATGCCTTTGCTTTAAAGTTTACTAGCTTTGCCTGAAACGTGCCAATACAGCTCACTGGGGTTAACTTTTAAAAGGGATGACTCTTCAAAGAACTTTGATGGCTTTTTGTTTTGAAGTAACTTCTTAGTTGTGGGTCAGAGGAAGTTTTAGAGGCTTCTGAATGTGTGCCTAGAGTAAAAGTTTTATTTCATATTCGGATGCACTTTTGAAGTGAATGCTGAGCATCCCACACACTGTGCTGTGCTTTTCTTTGCTTGCCATCATGAACCTGTCAGAGCTTGGGTTCCTTTTGGAAGAAGCTAAACCCAAAGATATGTGATAGGTGTGCACCTTGTGTCCCAGGTAGGTGCTAATGAGCACACTGTCTGCAGGACCAGGCTGACTGTGCTTAAGACCAAGCCTAAAATTCTCATAGGGTGTTTGACTTCCAGCAATTCTGTTTAGTTTTCTTTCTGTAAGAAAAGCTTCTCTCAAAAGCCACCAGTCAGCATGAAATGTAGATTATGCTTTATTCTGTGTGAGAGCTCAGTCTGATCAATGTGATCTGTCTGGGAGCTGACTAGAGCTGGGGAGACATCTGTGCATCGTTCAGTTTCCGTGGCAAAATTAGATTTAGGTTCCATTACAGAGTGATTTAAATGGTAAATTGTAGAGATTATGAAAAAAGTAATTTCTCCTTATGCATAGGACTGTTACTTGTGAACTGCAGAGCCTGAAATCTGAATCTGTTTCCAAAGTGGGCAGCTTGAATAGCTTTTGCAAAAATGAATGTGCAGGCACAGTTCCAGCTGTCTAGACGTGCACCTTTTTGCTCAGAGATAAGAATTCTTTTGTTTCTTTGCTCTTCTCAATCCATTTAAAATACTGTTGTTTGAATAGGCTTGTCAGAAGAAATGCAATATCAAAACCCATTATAATTGCTCTTTATTATTTACTTGTGTTTTTGGCTTCTAGAGTCAAACGAGTGTTCCAGGAATGTTATGTTCTCTGTCACTTTTTTAAAAAGCATTGAATCCCTTTGCTCACTGGAACTAGGTAAGAAGGATCCTTGAGATGGAAGAAAATGAGTTTGGAAAATATTCAGAGTATTTGATGCTTTTTCCTACATGAATTTGGGAGTGACCTATAACTTGACGTGCAAGAACTTTCTCTAATCGTACCTGACTGGTTACGCTCAAGCTCCAGAATGGTTCATTCCCTCACACAGGAAATAGAATGAAAGTAACAGGAAGCCTGCATCTATGGCCAAACTTGGGAAGTGTACTGAAGGTGGAAGCAGGGACAGGTGACAATATCTTCAGTGTGCTGGGGTCAGGTTAAGAAGGTAAAACCTATCTACCTGCATTTTATTTTTCAAGACAAATTATTTTTAAAGGGTAGTTGCTCAGACTTTGAAAGAAGGAGATATTTATATATAAAAGGATAAATATATAAAAATCCAAATCTAAACGTTTTCATAGAAATAGTGATTTTCTTTGCTATGTACTCTTTGAAAGAAATAGTCACAGGTAGTTAAGTTGGGTGTGTGGGGCTGTGGAAATACGTGAAGTTTAAGTGTTTTCTTCCTGCTTACCTGCCTAGATATGGTAAAGAAACGAGGATTTTCAGCATGGGTTGGGAATGAGATGTGCATTGATGCCAACTGTGAGGATCTGGTTTCTGCAGAAGCTTGTCTTGTCCTTTTTCTGCCAGCACAGATGAGAAGTTTTTTCTGCCTCTGCTTAAGGGGGAGAATTTACTTGCCCAAGTGTGCCCTTTCCTGTGCTCAAGAGACATCTGCCTCAACTGTGTTGGATAAAAGGAGGAAAACAGAGGGAGGAGAGGGGAATCCTTCCCTTCTTTGTGCAGAAGGGAAAGGATTACCTTTGTGCAGGTAGAAATTAGCAACAGCTGAAGTTCTGAGATGCATTACACAGAATGTGCTTTCTCTCTTACAGGGCAGCAAATCGTAGCTGTGATTGCAGTTGACAGTATCTTTTACATACCTTTCATCACCTAGGAGCCGAGCTTTGCAAGCTCCCTGTTTTCCTTCATTCTTGTCCTTCTGCATGCTCTGGAGTGTTTTATATGAAGGTTAAGCACTAGAGTGCTTATATCTGCACTAAGCTACTGATTTTCTCTGTTGCATCTGTTTGAACGACTGGCCAGTTTAATCTCATATGATGAAGTAACTGGGAATAGGTTCCTGTTGTTCAGGCTGTAACACACAGATTGTAAATGTCTTTATCTTTTTAAATGGGGCTCCTGCTCAAGTGAACGAAGAATGATTCTGTTTTCAGAAGGAAAAAAGAGGAAAATGGCTTCATAAAATGATGACTGTCAGGAAGTGCTGGGTCTGTTCCAGTTATGCCAATCCGTTACACTGTGAGTTTGCAGGAGGTGGGAAAGGGGACATAGCTCACAGCACGCGCTTCCAAATGCTGCAGTCAAACCGTTGGGCCCATCTGCTTGAGAAGATTTCAGTGATCCAGGATGGAGCATGTGATCGTTGCCCCAAATACTGAATTTCAGGATGACTGAGTCACTCTGTTTATTTCAGTGATGGGTGCTGTTAGGAAAACTTGGGAGAAATGGAGTGCTGGTCTAGAATAAACCTTTTGAGGGAGAGGAATAAAGAGGATGTAGACTTTAAGATTTAGCTGGACAGGGTGCTGGGACATAAAGCCTAGATGATGCTTTGGTAAGATAGATTGGACCAGATGATCCCTGAGGTCTCTTCCAACCTGGTATTCTGTGATTGTGATACTGATTGTACATTTCAAATGAAAGACTTTTCAATCTGAACTTCCTTGGAAAGGAAGAGTGAGAATGATGATCAGAAATCTGCAAAGGGAACAACTGCAAAGCTGCAGAAGGGAAGGAGGAGAGCCTTTCCTTAGGTTACATCAGCTGCTGCTTGTTTCCATTTTCACACCAGAAGGCTGCTGCTCTTCCCATTTTACCAGGTCAGTAATAGCTGCAAGTGAAGTGGCACAGAAACACCTCTCCACCCATGCACTATAGCAGCATGTGCTTTTTTTAGTTGTCTTCTTTTGGATGGGAATGACTTTATATGGTTCAATACAAACATGTATGGAAGGGCTGGAAATCAAAAATGGGAAAAGCTCATAGCATATACAGCAGGTTGTCTGACCTGCAGCAGGTGAAAGCCACTTTCATCCTCAGGTGCCATTCCTGTCTGTTTAGAGGCCCCTGAGTAGACAGTCTCATTCCTCCCTGCACCAGAGGTAGATAACACCACTGCCCCAGGGGAGAGCTTTAGCAAAGTGCAAAGAGCACAAAGGCCTGTCAGAAGAGTCTGGCAAGTGACTGAAGAGCCCTAATGAAGCAAAAGCTGCTGTGGGTGACAGTCTGGTAAGTAACATATTCCACTTCCTTGCACCTCTTCAGTTCTATGAATCATTAAAGCAACTAGGTTGGAAAAGATCTTTAGAACCCCCTCTTTGGGGGGGACAAAATTCCCCCCTTTTTTACCTTCAACAGCATCCAAAGGAGTGCAGCATGTTCTGCTCAGCCAGCACTAAGACATGGAAGACTAAAAAGGATCTAGTTTCCTGTTAACCTGTCTCCCCGTATAGGTGCTGTGTGAGATGCTCTGGATCTAGAAATTGAACTGAGGACAGAAACCTTACCTATAAAAGGCAAAGACTGTTGGTGAAGGGATGAGGGAGGACATCTACAGCAACTGTGTTGATGATACCATAGCAGAGATGATGTTCTGCTGTTTGGGTACAGTCAATTACTACTACATATGTGACTTGCTGAACATGAAGCATTTATTTATGTGAGCAATACATTAACAAGTGGCAAAGTTATACACTGAATTAATGTACAAATATATTCCTCACACACACACTCTAGCACACCAGCCAACTAAATCAGGGCAAGAACTCTCAGTCCAAATAATGATCATAACAGCTACAGCACACCATGCACTAAGCCAGACTTACTTCCTGCAACCTGTCTCAAGTCTTGCTTGAAGACCCTGATTTTAAGTATGCAAACAGTAAAAAACAATTAGCAATTTCATTAATTACCTGCCCATAGTTACAGGGTATTAAAGAACTATCAATCTGCAGCTTAAACTGGACCATGGTTTTTCTCTCAAGTTAAAGAAATGAACTGCATAGCAGCACCTGTGTTTAACATCGAGGTGTTCCATTTTCTTCATAAAAATAGTTCTCTGTGAAGACTGAACACTCCCTCACCAGCACATCACCTGACACAATGTGTGTGCGCCACCTCTAGTGCAGATGTGTATTGGATCTATCCTAACCTACACATCAGGGAAGCTTCTTAATGCACGTGGGGGGCTATGTTTCACATGACTGTTTACATATATACAAAATAAATTTAGCTCTGTTGTCATTAGGGAGACTCAATCCCATCTGAGGAGTGTGTAGAACTTGTCCAACTTCCACTGAAGCTTGACATGCAGTCATACTGCAAGACAAATATCAGGGCTATTACTTTCTTTTAGCAAAAAGTAGATTAGTAACTGTACAGTAGGTAAAAAGCAGTCTTTAAAAAAAATACAGAAGTTACACAAAAGGCTGTAGTAAAGTGCCTAGCAAGAATATAAAGAACAGGAGAATCAGTTTAAGTGGACAAACATTACCTCTTCACAAATTCTACCATGTGCATTGTAATAGTATCAATGCTCAATGACAATATGTCAAAAAGACCATTTCCACTTTGCTATATAAAGTAGTAGCGTAAAGCCAAGAATACAGTCCTATCAGAAATAAACAATTTGGAGCATGATTAGCTCACTCACTTTCATTCATCCTCTATACAACAAGAACTGCCAGGAACCCTCCAAAGCCCAGTGACAGTACTCTTCCCAGAGGCACAGCTCATACCCTTCCTGAGAGCTCTCTGGCACAGACCCGCTGAACAGCGAAATGAGCTACTGCCATTTCTCTCCCTTTTTCGTCCCTCATCAGCCTATGTTTCCCATGCCTCCATCAGTTTTCTGCCAGAGGGACAGCCTCTGGCTGCATCAAAGCTGCAGGCTATTTAGGGCTATTGTGCTTTCCAAGTGACTTCTGAAACACGGAGAAGCCAGGGATTTCTTGACCCCTTACCCCTGTCCTTTCTCTCCACTGATCCTCAGCCTTACTGACCGCTGTCAGAGCCCTGGACATAGCCAGGGAGGCTGATACCTGTATCAGAGAGATCCATTACCATTATGAGCTTTGCTCGGGAAGAAATCTGTACTTTGTCTTCATGTAAAAATATGGAGCAGGTCACACTGAAGCTGAACGTCAACTTTTTACTCAGTATTTTCAAACGCATGCTCCGTGACAAACCACCCTGTGACTGACCGACCGTACAGAAAACAAGACTCTACAGCTAGAGAACCCGAAGTGTTAAAAAATATATTTTCCCTCTCCCCCTTATTCTCTTGACAAGTCAGCCTTTAAACAAACACTAATACGAGGTAAGCTGACAGAACAACACTGAATAAATAGCTGCAAAAAATTTTGGTTGCTAGATGTCTGCAGCCATCATGTAAACTGTATGCTACCTTCATGCTAGTTTAAAAACTGGTGTTCTGCATCAAGGGATCCACAATCTGGCACTTCTGGCAAGAAACATGTTTTCAGGCTGGTAAAGTTCTGAGATTCTATTAAAAAAAAAAAGTCAAATAAGTACATTTTTCTCATTAGGAAAAAAAAAGCCACGGTTGTGCTCCAACAGCTGTCACTGCAGTTGAAAACCCAGAAAAGACAGATTTTAAGGTTACCTGCCTGTAGTAGAGTGAATGGTAAGATTTTTGTTTTCAGAGATCTGTCACTCCTGCTGCCAGTTTTCTAAGCACACGGGCATCTTCACACTGCAAACCAACCTGCTACGTGACTTGGGTTTGATAACAGACGTACCTTTCTGCTTCAACTGAACTTAGCTTAGTGTGAGAGGTTTTAACTTTTTCTTTGGACTAGTCCTTTTATCTAGCCACCTAGAAAGCATTACCGAGTTCCTCCTAAAGTTGTTTCCAGAATAACAATTTGCATTTAAATGTAAACACTGATACCATAAATGCAGTGTATACAAAAGGCACAAGACAATTAGATTTGTGTAGCTGAAACTTCCCTAACTTTGAAAGTTGATAATGCATCTTTTGTTCTCTGGCTGGTAAATTCTGATCCTAAGCAAGCTGCCAGCTTCTAACTCAGTTGAAGGGGGTTTCCTACATGCAGCAGCTTGTTTTTTTGGTATTGCAATCAAATGTCTGCTGTCCTGTAAAAGCAAATACCACAAGTTATAACCATGTCCTTGACTGTACAAGGTATTCATTAAGTTATGCAGTAAGAAAGGCAGTGTCTTAAAAAACAACAGTGAAAAGTGAAAAACAGATCTGAGACAACTATTGATTAATAACAAATGAGGATTTGGAAAGACAGTGGCTCTTGGGAACATAGGTTGGTAAAAAGCCTTTTGGATCGAAGTTAAGTGCCAACATTCATTTCTCAAAGGGGCTAATGGCTCCAAATGGCACAATAAAATCCCCAATTTCTTTCTTGCACTGTCTTGTGCAATTCCAATCAAAATCCCCACCTGGCCACATTCATTTATGTATTATCCATCTGAACACAGGCTTTTTATCACTCCACTTGCCAGTGACCCACTGCAGCACTCAATTAACAGAGGACTTTCTCCCCCCTCCACAACTTTTCCAGCTATTCATAGTCCAGATCTGAGGGACAACGGAGCTCTTGCAATCATGTTTTCCAAAAATACTTCATAAATAGTCACACTTCACTGGGGTCCCCGTATCTGCAAAACGTGCTTATCGAATGCTCGAAATAAAAACACAGTCCACCAAGCCACTAAATTCTTCATAATCAATACTGGTTCGTTTCCGAATCTGTAAAGCCGGTAGTGCAAAACCTTGATCTGGAAGTCAGCTACTTATAGCAATTAACAGGTGAGTTTTCACAACCAAGGCGAGAACATGGACTGATACATAAGGAGGTCACACCTTTCTTGTGCTGAATATTGAAGTACAATCAGCCGTGGAATTTTTACAATTGTAAACTCAGACTCTGTTTTTTAAATTTCCTAATACTCATCATCCTTAACCATTCCAAATCAGTAACTTCTAAGTTGAAACGTTCCTTATACGGTTCAGAAGTAGTAGTATGTTTAGTTTCATGTTTCAAGCAGTGACATGGAGACAGCTAGTCATCTGTCCGTTTGTCTTCTGAGCACATCCTCACAGGAGCAGCTGACCAACAGGGCTGATACGTGGAAGAATTCATTTTCCTTCCAACAACAGCTTTTTCTTGAACTGGAACATAACATTAATCACAACATACAGTATTAGAATTGAAGAACACTTTAAGACATTGCAACAAGCCTCATCAACTCAAAGTGAAAAGTGAACAACAGCCACATGAAAAACGCACCCTGAAGAGGAACCTGCTAAGACTGTTCACAGTTATGTTATTAATCCACTTCAGGATGACAGTGATTAAAAACTGACTACACAGCAAGCAGGCACCAGTTTATAAAATTAAGTGAGCTATTGTTGCAGTACTTCCAGATACCAACATCATCAAAAAATAATTCTCCATCAATCACATTTGTGTAAACTGTACCTGGCACTCTCAGTAATTAGTCCCCTCATTAACTATAAAAGATTACAAAATACAAGATATTGAACACAGAATCATGGAATGGTTTGTGTTGGAAGGGAGCTTACAGCTCATGCAGTTCCAACCTCCTGCCACAGGCAGGGATACCTTCCACTAGACCAGGCTGCTCAAAGCCCTGTTCAATCATCCAACATATCCTCAGTTAGGACACAAATTCAACTTACTAACACACTGGCAGGAACCGTGAGCTGTATTTTTCATGTCAAAGATTAAATTACTTGGTTTTGTTGTTTATTGTTACTTAAAAATCTTTATTATTCTATTCACTCCCTAGAAACAAATATAACTCCAATACTGACAATAAAGTAATGAAGTTAAAAGCAAAGTAGTTACTTCTACTTTTAAAGGCTCTCACTCCATCAACTAAATGTCAGATATATATAAACACACACATACATACAGTAATCTGTTTTTACATCTCCAGAAAGTCTTTTAAGTGCCACACAGAAATACCTCAGAGCTAAGGGTGAAAACAAACTGACAATCTAATTCCAGAAAAATTATCAGTCCTTAGCTACTGCCCTTTTGAGATGTACATGTATCTGTCTAAGGCAAAACTAACTTCCAGAACCCTCTTTATGTGGCTTTACTCTTATTCTTTGGAACATAACCTTCTCTGAAGGTTGTCTCTCCAAAAAGCTGCATTTCAAAATGGATGCTCACAATAAGAAGTAATAAAATCACAGACAAAAATTCCACCCCAAAACCTAGGGGCTGAGGTAATCAGATTGCAAACACAACCCTAATTGTTACTTTCTCAGGTTGATAAAGGAAAAAACAAATCAAAACAACCAACCAAAAAGAGCATGAGATGTTTATCAAGATAAACAGCTTTAAAAAAACACTTTCAGCATCTTGGGAACAATCACAGCCTATGTTTGAAACTCAGAATAATATTAATGACAAAGTCCCAGTAAAATGTACACATTCTTGAAAGAAATATGAACATTTCAAGGTTATTACTTAACAGGACTTTAGAAAACAGGACTCTAACTGGACAAAACTAGTTCTTTAAAACCTATCTCCAAAGCTTTACATGAGTAGCGATGACATGTAAGATACCAAACTAGCTGAAGCTGAGTAATCTGTTCTTCCCAGAAGCCATTCTGCAGAAAGAACTGGTAGAGTCATAGCATCTTACATTTTGAACAAAAGGCTGGAAATGAGATTTTTAGATTCTGTTAAAAAAATGTACACAGAGCAGTCAAAATTGCAGAAAATGGCTGTTTCATTCTCTCATCTCTTTAACTCTGCTATTTGACACCTACATTTTCAACACTAACACTTCGCACCATCAAGTCTGTAGATGTACCTATATCTGGAACCATCTGCGTCTTCACTCACCACATAACACAAAACCAGAATGTAAGGGTCAAGAACTTTTCAGTTTCTCCAATGAATCTAACTGAACTTGTGGGACCTGTTTTGGTAGAAGCTGCAGGCCACCTGCTGCTGTCTGCACACCTACCATTTTTATCATCTGCCTTGACATTGCAATACCATGCTTGATGGATCTAGTAACAATCACTGCAGTTCTCTGGTGGCATTCCATGCCTTCCACTTCCCCCAGGAGTGACTGAGAGCAACCTGACAGCTATGACACAGCATGTTTAGGAGCCATGTCACACACAAATGAAGGACATGCACTGGAAACACTTTTTTCAGGATGATTGAAAAGGTGCCTTCAATAGCAGAGATAGAAATGACCTTGCTGGAGCAACTCCTCTGATGTTGGAAAATTGTACATTATTCAGTATGCTGAAATTCTTAGGATTGGAGTAAAATTCTTTATCCAGCTTTAAATATTAAAAAGCTGATTTCCATATTGTTTGGTGGAGTTAGAAACCTCTGAATATGAAAGTGAATATGATGATCAATTGTGTTCATTCCCTGCAACCCAATTACTATGGTCTCCTACTCTCATGTACATAACAGAATGTACTAACTGCTTCTCAAACCTGAGGTCTGTGTTGCAAGATACAAATGCAAGAAATTGAAAAAATTGTAGCTGGATTTGATGACAGGTGACTAAATGCTCAGAAAGTCATATGGGCACCTTTTGTCTTCAGCAGGAAGCACGTTTTTGATATTAAAGAGGATTCAGCTCAGTCCTTGGCACAGAAGAACAAGCTGGTAATAGCTTACGTACTTAAATAAATCTTTTTTCCTTCATCATCTGATAGATCTTTACCTGTTTTAGCAGACCAAGCTATGGTTCAGTGTTAAGAACTAACTTCATTTTCGAACTCAGAGTGACAAATATTTGCTGGACTGTTTGAAGAGTCATAATTTCATTATCTTTCTAAAGAAAGGGAATAATACTTTGGAATATTACCTAAAAGCAAACGGTATAAAGGTTAAACTAGTTTGCAAACATGACATATCAAGAAATAGGAGACCTAGTTTAAAACTAGGAATTCCTGTGCTACTAATAGTAGTAAAATAATTCAATTTAAGAAAATAAAATAGGAATTGCTTTAATAATTTTTTTTGTGCATTCTTCAAGTGGCAAGGTATCATGGAAGCATATTAAGTACAGAGAATATTAACATACCTTTCCTTACATATTCAAAATGTTTCTTTTTAGGGAAATTAGGTTTCATTTTCCATGGTTAATGCAGGATTGCTCATACCTTTAGAGAAAAAAAAAAAGAACAAAAAGAGGCATTTCCATACGAAAAGGTCTCATGTCTACTTCAACAAATAATACAGCCTTTAGTTAACAAGCCACCTGAATGTCATTCCACTATTACCAAGTCTATTCCTCCCCTGTGTCCATTATACAGCTTTTCATTAGTTGCAACGAGGTGTTATCCTATTCTAGTATAAGCAATTTGTTGCCAAAAGAACTATCAGGCTCAGCTTAAACGATAATTAGCATCTAACAGTACTAGAGGTCTCAGTACCTCTTGGTCAGATTTAACTGGGAAGACACAGCAGCTCGATACACAAAACTTCCTACAAACATGGATTTAAAATAAGCTTCATGAATTTTGGTTCATGAATACAAACCAAGTAACTGTGGTCAGTTTTACACTGTATCCTCCAAAACTAGTTTACTACAAAACAAACCACTGCAGCATTAAGATCAGCTCCTTACCAACTTTGCCCTTTTCAGCCTTTGCACTGGTTTCAGACCAAGATGGTGTATCTGTGAGAAGGTGGCTCTGGGAATCACGCAACGGCTTTGCAGGAAACAGATGGTTCTCACTGTAACACCAATAAAAAGAACATCAGTAAACTGCAGTAATTTTTCATTATCTTACCACGCTTTACAAACTGTCATAATCTGTATTTTACCTACCTTACATTGCTTCTTTTCTGATGAATCACAACACTTCTATCACTACAAACATTACCCTGTAGCTGTCAGAGATGCAAGCATGTGACAGATGCAATCTATAAAGCAACTCCCTAGAACAGAACAGGGGAACATTCCAATTTTCCCCTTGACAGCTGCTGTGTATTAGTACATGTACTTCAGTTCCAAATGTACTTTAACCATATTCTCCCCCACTACAACAAACCTGACATAATAAATAGCAGAGAGAACATCTCCAGATTCTCTTACTTAATACAAGCTATGGATCACTGGGGTAAGGTTTAAAACATCAATAAACCACTAGGTGAAATGTAATGTATTTCTTTTATGAATAAAAGATTGTCTCTACTATTCCATGATAGTTTCTTAGTTGCATATTCAAGTCTACTCTACTTACCACACTCTTCATTATGTAAGTGTTGCAAAAAAGTTACCATATGAAATACTAAGCTATTATATTAATTTAGTTTAAGAAGCATCTGTGTACTTTTCACACTTTATAAAGATGTCATGTCTATGAAGGATAACAACTAAGAAAATATGTCCTAATATTAGGAGAAACAACATGTACATTTAAAAGGCAGCCTCCTGGGCTTTGGCACAAGTTTTTGAAAGGAAGATGGACTGAGGAGGTGGTTGATTAATTTTCTCAACTAACAAGTGATAGGACAGGAAGCAATGGTCTCAAGCTTCACCAGGGGAGGTTTAGATTGGATGTTAGGAAAAATCCCTTCACTGAAAGGATAGTCAGGCATTGGAACTGCCTGCCCTGGGAAGCGGTGAAATCACCCTTCCTGGAGTGTTCAGAAACTGTGAGGCTCTCAGTGACATGGTTTAGTGGCAGACTTGGCAATCCTGGGGTAAAGGTTGGACTGGATAACCTTAAAGATCTCTTCCAACCTAGCTGATTCTATGATTCCAAGTGCTGAGGCCTGCGATTCCCCTATGTGAAACCTCTTTAACTAGATAAAAAGCAGCAAGCCTTCCCAAAAGCTTGAAAGATAATGCATCCGTATCACAGGCAGACCAACAGTCTCCTATGTATGCAGAACAGAATGTTAGGCAGGTGTGGAAAACTCAAGTCCTGGGATGCCACTGAACTGAGACAAAGCACATTGGATGGGTGGGTAAAACATCTTATTTCCATGAATTTAAATATAATTGAGGATTAGTAGAATTACAGCTTAGCTGTTTAAAACCTGACTTGTACTTATGCATAGGATACTCTTTGCTTGCTTACCACTTTCACGTATCTTATAAACGGTTCTGTTTACATGTGCAGAGGTAAAAACAGATTATCAACTATTTGAAATAAGTAACAAAAAGCAGATTACTTTTTGGATGTTGAATTAAGACAACCAGGTGTGGAAGCTTGCTCAGGATCCTGATTAACGAGGCAAGTTGGGAAGGAGCAACCATCCCCTAGACTGAAAAATTCAGAATTAGCATCACACGTACCAAACCCAACCCAAATTCCAAAGAACTTTTTTCTGAAGCAAGTATTAATGTATCTTATGACAAAATACCAACCACTCCCAGAAACCCTGTGGATCCTGATTATTCAACAGTTCCAACAAATGAAGCACTAAAAACTGAGCATACCTTGAAAATATGGGCAGCAACCAGTATTTCTTCTCATCGCCAAACACTTGCCTTAGGTTTTTGCTGAAGCCCAAGCTAAAGCCATTCTTGTCTGTTCTGTGACGAAATATGGGAGCTCTGAATACCTCTTAAAAGAAAAAGAAAAATAATTAAATCTCTGCAGGGTAGCATGTTTCAAGTTTCACACTGGTATTTAGGCAATTGCACTGATGATGCCGTTACCCAAGAGGAGAGGCTGTACTGCCCAAATGATTAAGAAAGCTAGTATGTACATGAAAGCCGAAATCAGTACCACAGTCACTGTGTGTGCAGAGGAAGTCCTATGGCCAAGGAAGGATGGATGTCTCCTTTACCTTCCTCCCTAATCAAGGCAAAGGAGAGCATGTAACTCACTTTTTAAGAAGGTGTGGTATATGAAGAATACAGCATGTGATTATACCACAATGTTCAAGAAAGAAAAGCCTAAATGAAGGGTTTATGAAAGAAAGACTACCAAAAAAGAGGAAAAGCTTAACCTACTTTAGTAGTAAGACTAGCTTTTCACACCCTGGTGTATTAAAGTGTTGTGTATTTTTACAGCTACATAAAGAAAGCATTTTACACATAGACCCAGATTATTCCCCAGACATCCAACCTAAATTTCTAGAGGCGAGTGCTAAACATAGCTTCAAGTGTTGGAAAGTGCCTAAAGCAGAAAACTCATCCACTTTCCACCAAGTGATGGATAGCCATTTAATTCCCTTAATTGGCTATATATATTAGGCAAACCATGTTCTGGTGTCTGACAGTACAGCTCAAACCATGCTGAAACCATGCAGTAATCATCCTTCTGCAGTAAATCTTTAGCTATGAATTGATGGAAATTATCTTCAACATGTAGTATACATAACTAATGAGTTACAAGATGTTTTAAAGAAGGGGGAAGAGAAAAAAATGGATACCCTTTTAGATGTCCATGTCAGGCTACGAAAACAGCTCCCTGGATTTAAGAACACTCACACTTAGATCTGCCATGGCTTAATTTCCAAACTATTGCATGTTCAGGGTTTCACATATTGAGCAATTTCCCAAGGTAAAATAGGAAGAAGAGACAAACAGATTTTTTTGAGTAGCTTTGGTATACAGAAAACTTGATTTATTACCTGCATGGAATGCAATGTGTTTTGAAAGTATGAAATGTTGAATTAAAAGTGGCTCTAACAAATTTTTTTTTGCACTAAAATGGTTAAGACCAGTTTATAAACACAATGCTTAATTATTTCTGTTCATTTAAGCATCATTAGTAGAAGTTTTTCTCCATTTATCACTAGATTGAACAATTTTTTTCCGATATTAATTGCTAAGTAGATCATTTGCAGCATACTGAAGAGACCCACAAACCCTGGAGAAATCCTGAAGTAAACAAGCTGTCTTTCAAATATATATATCCAAAGTTTTTCATTAATCACCTACATATTAGTAAATCCCAAGAGAATTGGGGGCAAAAAAAAGAAAAAAAATCAATTTATTGGCTCACTCTAATTCAGTTTATATCAACAGAAAAGCATGTAGAGATTTAGAAACTTTAATGACCATTATTGCAAATTGGTATTATTATAATCCAGGATATAGTGTAGAACAGGCATCCAAATTCTCTGCACCTCCATTTACTAAGTTTTGTAACCAGGCAAACATGCACTCAAGTGGTGGGAAATCCCACTTCAGTGCTGATACTCAATGAAGTTCTATATACTGCTGCATAGCAAAGGCATAGGCTATCTTTGAGTTTTTCAAAATAAGCTTGTAACACAAGAGTCCTCTCAATGCATTCGTAATTATGTGACAGACAGGACACACAACCGTACCAAAAATAGAAACACTTTCTCGAAGTCTGTTCTTCCATATTAGATCATCCTCTGACATCGCCTCTTTCTGCTCATTCATGTTGATCAAAACTAATGCCACTAGGGTGACAATCAACCTGCCTTCTGGACATTTTCCCCCTCTCCTTGCCTCCAGTAGAGGCAAAGTTTTGGAATTAATAACTATGCTTTTCAGAACTTCTGAACAAAAATATAGGCGAATTGAACAGAGGAACTTTGGTTTGTGCAGGGAGCAATGGTGGGAATGGAGCATGGGAGTCATTGCCCTTACTGAGGCATCACATCAGCTGACTGCTCTGCAGGGCTGGAAATGCCAAAAAAGAAGCACTTGCATAAGCATGCATTAGTGAGATGGCATTTATTGCAAAGGGATCTCAACTTTTTCATTTATTTATTTTACTATTATTATTTAGTTTATTTAGTTACTGTTAAACAAGCTGTGCATGAGAGGAAATGGGAGGGAGAGGGTAACTTCATTAGTAGCATGGGGCAAGAGGAAGACATACAATTCTTGTGGAGCGCCAGAACGGGGGAGTCAATACTGGACACAGCCTGGTTCAGGCACTTCTAACCAGGATCAAAGGAATCTCTATAGGGTTGCCTGCTTTTTCTATTACCCCCATACATATACATTTATTATTTATTTTCAGCTGTCAAACACAGCAGCATTCAATCTACTTACCTAATGTAGACTTATTCTTGCTGACAAGCCAACAGTGATACCCAAAGAGAGAAGACAGACTGACAGAAAACATAGCTGCAGCAAAGAATAAAAACATGATGTGGAACTTGGCTTGAGTATCAGGAAGGCCATTCTACAAATAAAACAAACAAATAAGAAAATGACGTTAGAACTGGGGAAATAGCTGTTTAATTTGATTATTAATAATCCTCTATCCAGTCAAATTAAATTCAGTGCAGACACAAACACACCACATACAAGAGTCTCAGTAAATGAATTATACACCTTCTATGTACAAATGGCCATGAAACTAAATTGCTGACAGTATCTAAGTTAAACAAACAGGCCCTTTCTTGAGAAAGTATAAATACTGACAAGAATAATCTGAGATTTGGATCTGAAATTTGAAGTGTCTTTCATTGAAGAATAATTTATCTTTACATCAATTGTCTTGTTTAATTAACCTTTTCAGAAAACTCACATTATAGCATAAATATTGCAAATCTAAGAAGGTAATACCCTAAGTTGTGAACCTAGATAATTATAATTAAAATACTAGAAAATGTCTCTGGAACTTTTGCACAGCATAGCACCAGAGTTCACAGCGCCTACTTATAATGTAAACTCCATTGTAAAATGTTTTCTAAACAATTGCATACTTGTTCTACACAGCTTCAAAATAAGGAAGAAATAAGTGAAAATTTGGAAACTATCATAAACAAGTAGTGGGCTATGATTACTAGATAAACTTCTGTGCCTCCTAGTAGGAGATACTAAATAACAATACAACACCTTGGAATCTTCGACTTCTTGTACAGTGGTAACTTCACATGCTTAAAGACAGTATGGTACTTACTGTCCAAAATTTGATAAAATACTGTAAATCCGTTGCAGCAATGAACAGGCAATACAGTAGCGAGTAAGCCAAGAAGAGAAGAAAAAATTTGTAATTGGAGAATCCTACACAGTTGTTCACCCTGTGATAATAAAATGTAAAAAATGTAATATGATGTAATAATAAATATGTGATAATAAAGAAGTAAAAATGGAATATAATGGTTAATTTTATCTCCTTTCATCCAACTTAAACTTATTTACTCCAAAAAAGTAATTAACAGCATGTAAACCAAGTTTTACTTCCTATCTCTAGTGTCTCAAGCTACTGAAACTTAGTTAGCTTCAACTCCCAAACTAGTATAGTAATTCTAACCAAAAAGTACCACAAAAAACCCCCCAAAAACTTTACCAGGTAAAACCATTTTCAACAGCTTACTGAAACTGAATTTTCACTTACTGCAGGAAATCTGTTCCCAGCATGTGACAGAAATGTGACTGCAGTTATAGTTAATTTTTTAGCTTGTAGGTAAGTTTAAGTATCCATGTTTTACTGTCAGGTATATTGCACATAACTAAGACAGTTACAAGCCAAGAAACTGAATCTCAACTGAATTTTGTGAGAATAAAAACAGTCTCATTTAATCCATATACTTTAAACTAATTGATATTGCTGTCAGAAAGATCAGCTAATTAAGAGGAGACTACATCCATGAAAGTATTTGTATGTTGAAAAGTAATTCTCAAAACATAAGAATTCATGGTAAGACTTAACTTTAGCTTTTAGAAGTGCAGGAAAAGTTATTGCAGTTATTCTCTTCTTTAGGGAGTCAGTGATGGTGATGGCAGAATAGGTAATATATGGTAATCAGAAGAGGGTAAAGTCTCAAACTACCAAATAAATTTTCACCGTACACTACTGTCATCCATCCTCAGGATGGATAAGGGGGTTGTTTGGTTTGTTATTGGCTTTACTTTTATAAAACATGCCACCTTAGCCAAACACTAAATTTAGCATTGCCATTTAAACATGCAGTAATAGCTAAGCATCTGTATCAACTACAGTTAAGGACATGCAACAGATTGCTCTAATTAAAAAGACCCACAGGATATTTTCTAAGCTCACCATAATTCTTATTGGAAAGCAAATTTATAATTCTCCACAGTAAAGTGTTCTTTTTCATTAAATGTGTCAAAGTAAGACATTCCATGATAAACTGCAAGCAATTCAGATTCCAGGTTTCTCTGATAACCCTATTTTCCTTTAATGGTATTTATTTTAGGACAGTTCTTACTTTATGACACTGTTTAGTGAGCAAACATTAAGTGAAATGTTATTCCCCAAAGATGAAATTTCTTGAATCAAAGACAGATTTCTCGTTGTTTTGTGCTATTGCATATGGTAGACACATTAAAATAAACTTTCATAAATTATTTAACTTTATTCAAATTCGAAAGAGCTGCAGACTGAGGAGTTCTTATGGGAACAGAATAGCTCATCAGAAGATTGAAGAGAAAGTAAACACCAAGGGTTTGTAATTGTACTATTTGAACCTATAATAAAACCTAAGAATGGTAGTTAGATTTGAAGTCTATGATTTCTGAGGAAGAGCAAAACTGATAAATGTACCAACAACTGCTTAAATAATGATGTGCTATTGCAGTAAAACATTCATATAAAGAACAGTCCAGGTTAAGAATTTGGACTACAGATAACATTCAAAATACTTAATCTTGAAGTACAAATAGCAGAGATACTCTCTGTCTCAAGACTAAGTTTACTGAAAGTGCCAAGCAAATAACCTACAAGACACTGAAAGTGATGCAACTTGATTAACAAAAAGCATCACAGAATGATGGAGAAATTCTTTTCAGATGACTCAAAAGACAAAGGAGAGATATTTCAAATTATTCCTAAGGTGTTCCTAATGCACCTTATTATTATTAGAGTTCTTATATACAAATTATATTTTTGGTGACACCTCAACCCATTGCATTCCTGCCTGCAGCTCCATCTATATTCAGTACTAGCACAGAAATCACTAATGCTTTTATGTCTGCATCACTTAAACCTTTTAGAGTAGTTAGAGGGCAATTAGTATTAAATATTTCCGTTTATCACAGCACTTCCATTAGTGCAGGAGTGATATCCAAAACAAAGCCCCCAGAAAAGGAGAAGACAGCTAACCTGGGACTAGGACATGACTACCATCTTACTACCTCTGCCTTCCAAACACTTCATCTTACTTTCTCTAGGTTATTTTTACCACAGCCTGTCCTCTCTCCAAAAACCCTTCTCTTAGCAGAGTATTAAAATAGTAGTAATTCCCACTAATGTTTCTGTGGTCTCCCTAAGCATTGCTTGGGTTCCTTCCCCTTCTTTCTTACTCACACGAAAAAAATCCCAACACAAAAAGCAAAGAGGACCTAATGGTATTTTCAAGGGGGCTAAACACAACCCCTTATACTGATTTGCACTGTTACTTTTGTTGGCAAAATAGCCCTGTGTTTCCCAGTACAGGATTTGATCAGCATCTGTGTAACATTTCAAACACTTTTGTCACTTCCACAGAGTTATTTTTTAAGGGTGAGCAAGGAACTATGGAAGTTTACTCAAACTAGGTAAAATAAAGCAAGGTAATACCTCTTTTTCTAGTGCATTCCTGCTACTTGGAGTAAAATAAGAACAATTTTCCAATAAGAGCATTTACATGTCTTTCAAGTACCTTCTCCACCTCTAGGTTGTGTTTTGGGTTTTTTTTTTGCAGCCATTGCTTACTAGATTAAAACCAATGAGCAACGTAAATATTCTCTCAAACTGGGTATATTTATATTGCTTGGCTACAAAGAGTGTGCAAACAGGCAAAATAAGCAAATGCTACTGACAGGAAAATTGAGTTTATTTTTCTAGAAATCTATGCCCTGGTGAAATACCACTTCACTACCCCTTCACACAACACATAAGTGCTCAGTTTATGATTTGTTATTTGATGCAATGGATTTTTATTCTTAAATTGAAGTCTACATGAAGGACATTTTCATGTACTATCCTAAAGAAGGACAACTAAAAAAATCCCAAACAGACCATAAATCTTATGAGAAGTGTGTTTAACACTGAATAATAATAATAATAATAATAGTATTGAGCCTTTTCACTGACATTTTGCCAGGAATAGCCTGACAGCTATTTTTCTTACAGCTTTCTACAGGACAGCAGTGAGAAAGCTGAAAAAAGGCAACAGCTTTTTTCTTGTAAGAAATTTGTTCTACATTCAGTGGTTTTATCTGTGTGGGTATTTTTGCTTTGAGGTTGTTTGTTTGTTGTGTTTTTTGTTTCTTAAGAAGCACACTAACAACAGTAAGCATCAGCAAGATTCACATGCTAATATCCCTACAGCAAAAAAAATATATAGGAAGTAACCCTACCCTATGTTGTTAAGTATTTCTTTAAATTGTATCTACCATACAGCTGCAAAATAAGGGGAGACTCTTAAATCATACTGCATTATGTCAGAAGCTGTAGTCAGGTTCAAGACAAACAGAGGAAGCCCTGCACCCCTTCCTCCACCACAACAAATTGATCTATGAAGGTCAAACCAGCTGCTTAGAACCGTCCACCACTGTTAGGAGATTCTTCTTTTCCAGTTGGTTTCATGTGGTAAAGAACTGCCATCTACCAGTCAATCCTCTTAACGTGAATTTTACTAAAGAATTATCTTAAGTATTTTCATGAGATACTTGCCAAACTGATGTAAAATTAATTACACATCCTGTTTACCCACTGGTTCTAAGGACTGCTGAAAAAGGACAGGAAAACAAAAAGAGGAAGGGTGGGAGGGAGAGGGGAGAAAAACCAGAAAGAAAACAAAGAACCCATAAAACTAAAAAGAGCTAACTTGCTGTTTCCACCAAGGCCACTCCAGCTGTCCTAGGAGCTTCAGTAAGGGGAGTGAGGCACAGCCCTTCCCTTTGTTTTTTAACATAGGGTAGTATTTCATCATTCAGTGCAACCAAGCCACACTAAGAAGTCCATGAAGATGAAATTCTTAAAAGAAGTTTTCTTAGTGACCAGAATTCTAGATATTCCTAACTGTAAAAACATGGAGATACCTAAGTCATAGGTCTAAGAAAAATCCTAGAATAGTTAGGGCTGGAAAGGACCTTAAGACCATCTAGTTCCAATCCCCCTGCCATGGGCAGGGACACCTCACACTAAACCATGTCACCCAAAACTCCATCCAACATAGCCTTGAACACTGCCAGGGATGGAGCATTCACAACTTCCTTGGGCAGTCCATTCCAGTGCCTCACCACCCTCACAGTAAAGAACTTATTTCTTATATTTAACCTAAACTTCCTCTGTTTAAGTTTGAACCCATTACCCCTTGTCTTTCCATACCTCACAATTAGGGTAAAAAGACACAGTAAATAGCTCCATGTCCTGGGTTCAGCAGTAGCAGGCATTTTTTTCCCCTTCTTAGTAGCCAGTGCAGTGCTGTGTTTTTGACTTTCAGCCTGGGAACAACACTGATAACATTGATGTTTTTAGTTGCTGCTCAGTAATGCTTACTCTGACCAAGGACTTTCTGAGTCTCATGCTCTGCCAGGGAGGAGGGGAAGCCGGGAGGAAGCAGAGACAGGACACCTGACCCAAACTAGCCAAAGAGGTATTCCATACCACAGCACGTCATGCCCACTATATAAACTGGGGGCAGTTACCCGGAAGGGCTAGATCATTGCTCGGGTCGGGCTGGGTATCAGTAGGGGGGTGGTGAGCGATTGTATTCTCTTCCCTTGTTATTTCCCTTATCATTATTATTATTGATGGCAGCAGTAGTGGTTTGTGTTATACCTTAGGTACTGGACTGTCATTCTTTTAACCCTTGGGAGTTACATTCTTTCAAATCTCCTCCCCATCCCTCTGGGAGCAGGGGGAAGAAGGGAGGGGGAGTGAGTGAGCAGCTGTGTGGCTCTGAGTTACCAGCTGGGCTTAAACCACGACACTGCAATAGTCCTGAAAGACCAGTAACTTCACATAAGCATCTAACTGCAGGAACAGTGAAGCATCACCTTCATAACCAGCCCCTCAAGAATTTACAAAATCATAAAGAAGAAAAGGAAAGCCAATAGTACACTTACCAAGGGCAATGGTGATCCATTTTCAAAATACATCTTAAAAAACCCCAACAGAATTCATAGCATAGCAAAAGGCAAGAAGAAAAAAAAGAAAAAAAAAAAAAGGTCAGATGCAGAGTTACATGTCAGATTTAAATTATTCACATACAGATTAAGAACTGCCCATATGTACTACTGGTTACCTAATCTATTTTAAAAAGGTATCTATTTAAATTCAGGTAATATAGTTTACCTAAAAGTAAACTGGAGATAACCCAAACTCATGACACTTGTTCTGTCAAGAGCATAGTCATTTAAGACAACACAGCCTGTAACTTCAACCCTAGGATTTGGTGCTCATTCTGAATTGGTTTTTCAACTGTTGTTTATTCTCTGACAGAGACTTAGAAACTAGGCTAGTTCAATTATTATATTCTTAGTGATGCAACAAAATCTATTTCCAAGTACATGATTTGCTTTTCTAGAAATATATAGGTGTTAAAAAAAAACCCACAAGGTTTTTAATAGCTTACCTTGTATGAAAAAACCCAAACTTTTTTTCAATTAATCACCGTCCATGAATAAAACATGCACAAGAAAATCAGATGTAACTGACTTAAGTGAATTGTGACAAGGTAAGGTAAATCAAGGTATTCTGCAAAATTTATTCACTAATAGCCTTCTGCAAATTACTCACATTTCATAGGATAACACAGGTCATCCTTTTTCTCCACCCTGCTCAGACATGGGAATGCTCTTGTCTTACATTACAACCAGAATCCCATACAACACAACCAAGATCCTCCTTCTGCCTCAGCTCAGCTACTCTTTCAGTGCCTCAGCTGTTTTGCTAGACCAAAGAAAAGTCATCTCCCTTCACAACCATGTTGAGAGGTTTGATGCATTATCAGCTGAAGAGCTCCTGGACCAACAGCCTTAAAGCTAAGAATAAATCAATTGCGGAGGAAGCCCCTTCTCTAAAGTTAGAAATTTAAATCACTGAGGGCAAAGTGGAGAACGACACAGACACTCAAGCTAAATGGATAGAGGTCAGACTGAAGAACAGCCAAAATAACATTAAATTAGAAATCAGTTAGACTTCTGGGGAGCATCGCTATGAACTTCCTTTTGTGTTAGACAAACAAAACTTGTATTTTATGACTTCAGTTAAAAATGGGGGATGCTTTGTTGTTTCTTTCCTTAAAAAAACAACAAAAAAACCTCAACCCTGCAAGTTATCCAATGAAAAATAGGATATTAAGTTTATTACCTCAGATAAGATGCAAGTGACATCATGATTAGATTGACATGGGTAGTGATATTCAGATTCTAACAAAAGAAGCAAATTTTTGTTTATCAGCTATTTTTGGTTACATTCTTAAGGAAAGTTCTTTATTAATATTCATCATTTTAACCTTTATGTAAAGAATGTATAAGACCGTATAATTAATGCTGGCATCAAGAAAGCCATCAAATGAATTTGAGTAAGGTACAGACTTCCCTAGAAGTAAGTAAATAAAAATTAAATCTGAAAAAATTCTAAGGGGGAAAAAAAAAGCTCATATGCTAAAACATTAAATCTGAAAAACCTATGCACAAAATATAAAGGCTCCGTGTCAAAAAACAAAAAAAACAAAAAGAAAAAAAATCCATTAATTCAGAAAAAAAACACTTATTTAAAATATTTTCTTACTTGTCACATACAGAGCAGTGATGGCAACGGTCTGGTTTTACAAGATGGCATCTGTCACAGTATCTGATTGCTAAAGGAAAAAGTTCCAAGATTAGATTTCAATGTACAGTTACACATCTTGATTCCTGAGGTCTGCAAAATGTAAATACTAGCAGCTCAGCCCAGCAGAACCCCCAGGAAAACATTTCAGCGTGGTCAGAAACAGTTTCATTCTGTAAGTACTTGCAATGCTGAATCTGGCAGAGTGCACTCAAAAAAGTTCAGTTTTTGCAATCTCTGCTAATCATGCTAATCAAGCTCTCTCTTCCAAACCCCTCAGCTCTGCAAAAAAACCCACTGAATCAACAAAACTCACAAACAAAAGTCGTACTAGATGGGAAAACCTTTAAAGACTGTTCAACAATATGGCTATTTTAAGCTATTATTCTAAGAGCTTTAATTCACTATATGAGATTATCTCCTGGATTTGTTTAGATAGCAGGCATTTACAAATGTACAGTATCAGTAGGTTAACATTAACTCTTAGCTTGTTCTTGCAATCAAACAACCAGCAAGTAAAGCACCAAGTTTGTTACTGTGATCTAGCTGTACATGACATGCAGTGATTAATTATTTTTTTGGTTTTTTTCAACCTATGAAGAAGTTGATGCAGTTAATGACTGCTACAGGCTCTTCTACAGTTGGTATTACAAGCTATTTGTTAATGTCAGTTTGCAAACATTTAGCAAGGCATTGTCAATCCACTTTTAAATCCTAAATCATATGCAGCAATTTACTTTCCAACAATGTTCCCACTTAATTAATGTAGCTGCATAAAGTTATATTAAAGGTTTGGGTCACTTTATTTTATAAAGTATGAAAAGCAGATCTTCCCTACAATCCAAACCTTTGGATTTTTTTATTTAATTAGTTTAGGTAATACATCAAGACACCTGCCTTTAGTGGTCTCCTGAACACCTATTTACCTCCAGACATTGTCCGTGTATAGATTGGAAGATCCTTGGCTGCCCGTCTTAAGACTTCTTGTTGGGATTCACCTCTAGGCTCCCTCTCTAGGGATTCCTTGTCTGAATATGATAGATGAAACTGGAATAATTTTTAAAATCAAAGATATGTTAGCAAATTCCAAGTTAAGTATCTGCAGAGATGTAAAGAGAAGTAAATATTCATTTCGTAATGATGAATTTGCAGCACATACACGGTACTACAGCAAATAACCCAGTGTTCTTAAGACCCCTAATTTAGTTTATGACAACTAAAGACAAAATTATAATTACTTCTGATTTGGTATTGATGCAATGCTGAATGTTTCCAGAAGTAATAAGCACTGTTCAAGAAGAGGCTCAAGCGCTTAGCATTCCTTTGAAAGGTGAGTGAATTTACTTCCGTAATACTAAATATTATATAGTTAATATAAGCTAGGTACCAGTCTTTAACTGAAAGAAAATACACTACTAGTAATAGCAGAAAAGATAACGTTAATTTATCTTCTGGTGTCTCATGTTTTCCTTTTTATTCTTTGCCACTGGAGACTCGCTGTTCTCTTCACCAGCTGTTAGGATGTGTTACTTCAGAGACTGGCTGAGAGAAGGAAGAGATGGGTATCCTGTATGACAGAATAACCACTTAACATTTTCTTGCATGAAAGGACAGCTTCTGTCACTGCAAAAATGGCCACAAGAAACATTGCTCTAGTAAAAACTGAGAGGGTAAAAATTACTGAAAGAGATGCACAATATACATGACACAGTCCAGATTTCCTACGCTCTTAAGTCCTCTGCAACACAGTGACATAGTCAGCTTTCACTGTAGCTTCAAGAAATGGGAGATGCCAAAGCTTCTCTACCAGAGAAACAGGATACAAAATCACCTCTGAAAAATCAAGCACTTTTCCTGACAAATACGGATGTCTCTAACCTGTACTGGAAATACAAGACCTCTGAATAGTGTTTATGTCTACAGAAAGGTTAATCATTGTAATATTCCCCCCCCAATGGAAGCGAGGCATGCAAAACTAAGAAAGCAGACAAACATACAGTTAGCAGCCTATTCTCCCCTACACAGAGAAGGCACCACTTTACGTTCCTAACAAGACTCACAATCTTCCAGCAGAAGCTGGAGCTTCTCTATTTAGCATCAGTTTCTCAAGACACCTTTTGTCTTTTTTCCCTAGCAAGAACACACTCTTGCTAACACCTGAATTGATTTATATTGGGATACATAGGATTTTTCACTGCAGAAACTTGAGTCAGAATACTTTATTTTTGGAATGTGTCCTGTTTGATGTACATGGAGCTATTGTACATTCACTTTGTATTGGTTCTCACAGTTGTCCTAAGTCTACAAAACCTTCCTGCCTGGGAAACCATCTTCTCTCCCACCTTCATGTAATGATTGTATACAGCTAGTGAGCCATAAAAGTACACATAGGTACAGAATGGCACACACTAAAGTGAAGTCCCTCAAAGTCTCCCTAAGGGAAACTGCAGCTGGAACTTTAGAGTTTTCATACGTGTATGAAGTTGAAATAAGCTTGAAGAGAAATATACAGGCTGCATGGTTTGCACCACCTGCAGTATCCATTAAAAGAAACCACAAAATCTTTATCTGTGTTTTCAGCCTTCAAACAAGTATTTGTTATAGGTGGTACAGCGGTTCATTTACAGACTTTGCTTTACTGCATCAGGAAGAAGACATGGAACAAGGATGTCACTTACTGCCAGCAACATTGTGTAAATTCAAAGAACACAGAAACACCATACACTGCTTTCTATTACCCAATTTCAATACTTCTAATATCCCATTTGAAATTCTCCAGTAGCATTGTATGATGGCTTTGAAATCCACTGTAATTACTAAGGATTTGTCAAAATGTTTTGGAAGTCTTTTACTGGCATCAACCCAGTGATTTGAAATCCCTTCTAATTATCACTACACTCACCATATAGATACACATACTTTGCTGCAATTACCAAATGAAATGGGTTCTTAATTTATTTCACTCCTCTCTGCCCCAAGCTGTAGTAAAGACTGCAGTGTGAAATTCAAGGAAGATGCCAATTATTTTGAATTATCTACTTGTTTCCACTATTACACATCTTATTAGTGAATAAAGACTATTCAGAAAAGAACTTCCACACAACAGACAGCAGAAATCACAAGCTATTTATTTTGTGTTGCCATAGTACTTATAGAAACTGCAGTTTCAAGTCCATGCCAAAATAAGCATTGGCTTTGTGGATATTTCAAACTGCAGACTAGCCACAGCATGATGATTCTTGACCTCAGAGTTTGTCTGAGAATGCACCTACTGAGGACTGTGGGATATCTGTACAAGGACAGGACGGAAGAGGCTAAAAAGGTGTGCTGCTTGTACCAAGCTGCACGGGGAGGTTTTTCATCAAGGTTATTGACAGGTTTGGGGTTTTGTTTGTATTTTTGTGGTTTTTTTTTTTTTTATGTTAGAAAGAACATGAAATTAAAATAATTTAAAAAGCCAATACAGTACTAAAAGCAATTATCTTGAGGCTACATTATGTTAAACTCAGTTTTGTGTATTAATATTCTCCAAGACAACTGAATCCTTCTTTAACACTTCTAAACTAGCTGGACTTAGACTTGGGGTATAGGTTTACTCAGACCTCTTTTCCATGCAGCTCCCCTTCTTGCCTAGCCAGCTGTGACTTCCCAGCATCAGTTTACCTGTTTGTGTGCTCATGTCGCAAACCTCAAATTCCTTCATACCAAAACAGATGGGGAAGAAGTTCTAACTCAGAGGACAACAGACAGATGCTGACAGGCAATATGCCTTAAACATAGGGAAATCAATTTTGTGCCCCATGCAAAGACTTAAGCTGCTAGGTTGAGCAACTCTGATTTTTCAAGTGGAGAGCTTTTTTCTTCTTAGTATCATAAACACAATGTAATTTTACAAAGCAATTAAAAAACCTTTTAAACTTAGAGAAGGTGTAATTTTTTTTGTCTTGGTCATTACGCTGTTTGCAATCTTACTGCCGTTGAGCAGCTCTAACGACCATCTGTATTTTCTACAGTGTAAAACTACATGAAATCAGAGCCTAAGATATTAAAAAACTACAAAATCAGGCATTTGAGTAGGCTACTTCAGAAACAAAAGTGAAGTTTATCTTACTTCTTTTGAAGGATTCATTGGTAGCGTAAAGATTGTTTTCCAATATGACCAGACGAACAGCATGAAAAATATGTGGTAAGCAACCAGGCACACAACTAAAATCAAAAAGGAACAGAGTTAATACAAACAGACCAGCGATACTATAGTACTTACTAATGGCTGCTATATATATCACAGATAGTTACCCTAACAGATGTAAATAGAGCCTCTGCAAAAGCTTAACAACAAAAATACTGCACTGCAACTTTACATAAGACAAACAGACACTTTGTAAGGAAAGTCATGATACAGGCTACACACATTACAAAACTGTGAGGGGAACAGTTAAAAGCCTATGAGAACCCCGTAATTATTTAGCAAGCATTTACGCATTTTAAATCCTACTTAACCGATGTACCTCTTTTTTAGTTTTATAAAACATGTATAGATACTTCTAGCCATGCAAAAGGAAAAAAAAACAAACCAAAACCCCCAAATCTCACAAAAGGAAGTACAGCTATCTAAACAATGACTACAACAAGGGGAGTCTTCAAGTGGCTATGCATATGATATCTGAGCAGTAACCATAACCAGTTAATCTGTTTTCCTAGATTTTTAGGAGGGAGGACAGTAGGATGGTTTTAAAAACCCTGCAGGTTCTTTAAATTCGAACATTCACTCACTACGTGACATTCTTCATAGCCAGTGATTTATTCTTTGATTTCTTTTAATAGATGCCAGTCAACACCTACCATGATGAGTTGTTTTACCAGCATACAGAAGGTAACATCTTTTCCAAAGAGCCTGCCGTGGTGTTTCCATTTAAAATCTCTCACTGTACCAAGCAAGTCATCACAGTAAATCCAATACTTGTATCCTGTGATAAACTTGCTCTAACACACAAGAAAACTTATTTTGTTGGATTTTTTTTCTACTCGGGCAGAGAAGCAGAAAATAGAGAACAGTTAGGCCAGCAACAGTCAAAAATACTATTTCTCTGCTGTACAGATGAACTCAGATCATAGACAGCTCAAGGTTATATGTGGCTATGTGGTCAAATAGCCTTTATACAACTTGTATAAATTCTTCATCAAAAAAAAAAAAACATCATAAAGGGAAAGTTGTGTACTTTCACTACACAATCTGAAATACTGCCCTTTTATGGTTAGCACATGTTTTCACATACACAATGATATTTAGTGCTAGAGAACTTTCTGTAACACATGTATGACGGTGTATAAATGCAGGAACAGTAGATCAGTATGTTCTTGGGTTTTGTAATTTTGCCTCAAAAGTAACACTGAATAAATGTTTCTAGTGTTGAAGTTTTGTTTACTCAAAAAAAGCAGAAACACAGTAAATATTTATTCTTATTCACTAGGCAGTTAAAAAAACAATACACAAAAGCTAACAGAATATGAGGAGCAACCCTGCAGAGAGCTTTTGAGATGACAGGGGAAAAGAGCCATATGCCATGTCTATAAACTGGAAAAAAACCTCATCGATATAAGTAAGCAATGGAACTGGACTCCCCATCAAGCGTAATACATTAATTGACCATCTGGTTATTGCACAAGCACCTGGCAGGAACAGCCTGCGTTTTTACCAAAACATTTCTATTAACTAAAAAAACCCACCCTGATTTATTCAAACTAAATCAGTATTTTTTTAAACAACAGTATATTCATGGCACTACGTGAGAGTAAGGTAGGGCAAGTTACATCAGTCCTGTTTGCTATGCATTTACTAATCTGCATTAATATTTTATTGTTGTGAGAATAATGGTAACTGATAAGAAGATTCCTTTTCATACACTAAAAAACTTGGACTGCTGGAGGAAGACAAAATTTTAGCCTGAAGACATTGCCCCATGTTTCCCCTTTAAAGTCTGCACAAGATTTAAGCTCTTCTTGTTCACTCATGCACCTCAGTTCTCCAACCTGGCCAAGGTCCTGATCAATCACTTCTCCCAGATTACCTACCCACCAGTCTCCCTGCACCACAAAGTGACCCTGACCCACCAGCTGCTCCACTGGGTCTTTTAATTAGTAAACACTTAGAAGTGAGCGAGTCAGCAATGACATAGTAAATCATGCTGGAATTACACAAGTGTAAAATGCATTCAGTTTGCCTCTTAAGACAGAACTCTTTCCTGCAAAACCTTCATGGAACCACACTTTACATTGCCATTTTGTGCTGTGGTATTAAAACAGCATCTGGAACAGCAATCTAAACATGCTACAGCCTTGGGGTACAAACTCCAGTGACCGCTAATCAGGCAGTTTCATTATCTTCTGAAAAAGTTATGTATCTGAAGGCTTCTGTTTCTTCAAGGACAGAAAAAAATGCAGAAGAAAATAACCTCCCATTTAAGTATGTTGCACTCTGCACAAACACTGCTCATCTTTAGAAGTCCTGGTTTTACAAGAGCTTTACTTGTTCCGACTGAAAAATTTGAAAAACAGAATATAAGGATTATTTTAGCTGACACTTCAGAAAGCCAGTGAGTAGAGTTAAAAGTTCTATTTTTTTTTTTTTAATCTTGATTTGGAATAGCAAAAGCAATACTCAGGAAAAGCAGGATAATAAGAGAAGCTGAGGAATACAAAAAAGTACACTTACTTGAAACAGGTTAGATCTGTATCTCAATACCACTAGTAAACTACCCTGATATATGAATTCCACTTATAAACAGCTAATAAAAATCAACTTACCTTTTTCTCCAATATTTGTCATTGTCACTGGAAAATGAGAAAAAAGGACAGAGTAAAAATGATGTTTAAGTAGCAAATGATGTAACTGAATATTTTAAACTCTTTTTCAACGAAAGTGGGGAGAGCAATCACTAAAAAATACAAGCTGAAGGCCACACACTATTCAGCTTTTATGCTGTGTACATTCATGGCAAGAATAGGTAGACAATGCCAATTGCTTATCAGGTTTTTTGGTTCCCATTTCCAGGCCAAGTTCCTAGTACTCACTAGCACCTCCATCTATCTGAAGTTACCCAAGTTTAACCCAAGAAAAGCCACCTCTGTGGAACAGTTGTTTCTTTAACTGTGGCTGTACAGGCTTTACTGTTTCCATACATTATGCTCTTGAGGCAGAGGTGTCGGGCTCCAGAGGTAGTTTTGCAGCAATACTCAGTGATACCTTAGATCTCCAAGGCATAAAAACCTGAAGTAGACAAAAGCTGCATTTCCATCAAGAAACTGTCCATACATTACAGGATTTGGGAATAGTAAGAGAGGCACAAGTATGTCAGCCATGGAGTGAAGTACAGTTATGTATCAGTCACCGCATTTATTAAAGAGAATAGACCTTTTTTTTCTTTTTTTTTTTTTTTATACCTATATTCCACCCCCAGTCATATTTAAAAAATAACCACCCCACAACAGGTAACTCAGAGATTGTAAACTCCCAAGTGATCAAAAACCCCATGGTGCTCTTTCCTCTCCACCCAAACCACACATCTGCCCATCCCAATTAAGCAGCCCACAACTGTGAGCAAGAGGACAGTATCTGTATGGATTTCTCATCCCCTCTTGCTGTCCTAATAAAAATGGCTGCTCTTCAAACAGCAGGCACAAGGCAACTCCTACTGAAAGGCCAAGCAGCCACACTGTCCTATTCTGATGTATTAAACTTAGGCGTGTTGACAGAGTGAAAGTCACTATTTAAGTATATCTTGCACAATGTAAGGATGTACCATGGGACCAGTGCTGCTCAACACCTTAACTAATGCTCTGGAAGGGTGAACATTTATCAGATGACACCATGCTGGGACACCAGCTGATATGCCTGTGTGCAGGACTGCCATCCAGAAGACACAGACTGGAGGAATGGGCCAACAGCACCTTTAGGACATTCAACAAGGGAAAAGGTCATGCACCTGTAAAGAAACAACCCCCTGCAACAACACAGCCTAGGGACTGTTTTTCTAGTTCAGCCGTGAACTAGTTCTAGACTAGTTTTCTAGTTCAGTTAAGAGAAGTCTTTAGAGCTTGATAAGCTAAATCTATCTAGACAACCCCTAGAGAGAAGCTGAGGGAATATGCATAGACATTTAAATCTGAGGAGCAGAGATGCTACAGTACAATAATGTGCAAGAACTGTAAAACTGTATGCAAACAGGGATTCACCGGCAAAAAAAACAGGAGACACCTTTAGAGCTGATGTGTAACTTAAAGGTGCTGGAGCTCTCTGATAGGACAAACTAGCCACTTCTCAAATTCTGATATTAATTTCTCCACTTGGTATGGTCCGCAAGGTGCACAGACATTTTGCCAGTCTGCTTGGAATAACTGCTCTCTGCTAATTGAAAAGCCACAGCCAAGCATACATTGCAGAATCACCAGTTTCAAACTACAATCCACCAACCTTTCACAATGACTTGTGATATTTTTCTCTCTTAACAAGGGAATGGCACAGAACATTGCTGTGAAAGCAGTTGTCATGTTTCACACACACACCTCCAACCTTAGATAAAATGTATTAATGGATGTGTTTGAGACTTTTACATTTTCCACATGTCTGTAAGTAAAGGACTAATACAACTAAAAAATCCAAATTCAGATTTCTACCTGGCCGCAAGCCCACTTCACAATTTCTGCCCTCTCTTCGGAGTCTGTACCTGCTCTGCAGACTGCCTTTTCACCTTCTGTAGTATCTAGCTTAGAAGCCAAATGTTCCTGACAGTCAGGAGCTGTAGACCATGAAAGCTAGAACTTAAGTGCCCAAAGATGCCAGTTAATCCCATCAGAGTGAGAACCCTTTCTTTTTTTTTTTTTTTGATACATCTTGTCATTTTAATCTCTTCTAGCACCTGAGTATAACTCAAAATTACTTGATACACTCCTGAGTTACAAAGCGTAAGAGACTAAAGTATAAAAGGCAAGGTTGAAGAGAGATGCCAGCATCTTCAATCTTACCATCTTTTTTCTCCACACTTACTGCAGCTGGTGTTCATGAGGAGACTGGCTGAGCTGCTTAACAAAAAAAACATGGAAAGTAATTTTCTAACATGAAAGAACTCCTCTAATCTTGGATTTGATCAAAGAAACATTTGCTATTTTCCCTGCCTTCTGAACAGCACACCTGATGTATTTATTTAAACCAAATTTTATTTTTTTCAGTAGATTCAGTGATAGAGATTTGCTATATTATTCAATAATATTCAATCGTACAGTCTTCTGTGAATCATTTATACTAATATTTCTGGCAGTTTTCTAATTTCTCTTGCAAGGGGTTATATTCACTGCTGATAGTGTACAGAAAAGTAGGTCAGGCTGTGCATCCTGTCCTTAATAAATATCAGCTTAAATGTGAATTCACTCACTAGTAGTCAAATAGCATATGAATAATAAGGGTAAAAAGCATTTATGTCTACAATAGCTTAAAATACGCACCAATAACACGCCAATCCTAACCATTAAGCAATTTCTACAATCTGGGAGAAAACAAGGTAACACTCTGAGAGGGAAATGGAATGATACTGTTGTATACTCAGAGATGGAGATAATTATAAAACTATGACCTGTCTTCCAGAAGTCATTACAAAGTTACAGCTCTGTTCGGCTGAGATACTGCATTCATTAAGAATCAGCCTTCCACTGCTAAAGCATCAGGATGCCATTTACAGTTCAGTACTAGCAGACTATCACATAATTAGAGCCTCTCTGCTTCATTACACAGCTTGCAGACAGTGCTCATGAGAATTAGGGATCAGTCTAGGACGTATGCAGGACTTCAGCCAACATAGATGCCAATTTTCTGAGCCAGAAACATCATTCCCTGCTACCCTGAGCCCCAGGCAGCCAGAAACAGAAACAGCACATGAGTAATCAGTGCTGCTGAACAGCCTATGTTTGCAAAAATCAATAATGACTGAGGACAGAAAGTTGTGTTACAAAAGACAGAAAAAAAGCCCAGGATGGAAAGGACACCCAGAGAAGCCAGGAAAATTCATCCCACATTTGCTAGTAGTCTTCCCCACCAGGAGAAAGTTACGCAGCATTCGAAATGTTGCCCTGGCAAGCAAAGAGGCACCACAGTATCTCAAACCTGCCTGTCACAACTTCATCACCTAATTAGTTTGCTAAGAAGAGAAGCCACACTGCTATGCCCCTTGCACTGGGTCAGACCTTAATTCAGTGATAGAACTGGATTTCCCATTTCTTGAACTGTGGCTCATTTTCTCTGGAAATCTTTATTCTTGCTCACCCATGGAAAAATTAAGGCATTTGTCTCCTAGAGACATAGCAAGACACATTGCTACTACAAACCCCAAAAGATTTTGGAAGATAAAATTCACTTAAAGAATTGGTATTCATTTTCTAACATTAAATCTTGCTTTACTTTTAAAGCCAAAAATCAAGCTCCTGACCCTTATACTAAATGTAATGGTTAGATTAAAAAAAGATAGGAGAAAGCAATTTTTTTAAAGCTTTGATGAAAGTAGACATACAAAATCTTGCTTCCATATTTTAAGTACATTTGCTAAATATTTAAAACTTTGGAATGGGAAAATAAGATACATCTGATTCAGAGACTCTGCAGCCACATTTATAAATAGCTGTTTCTCTCAAACTTCGTAGAGTTTAACATCTTGGCTCTGATCCACAAAACTAAGTACATATTTTATCTTTATAGTGTTGTTTGAAACTGTGAAACACTGATCTATAGATGCAGTTTTACTCAGCTCTCTGTACACATAAAAGTGTTTTATAGTTGTGACAAGTGTTCTATCATTGCCTGCAACAGTTCTTTAGAAAAAAAATAAATCAGTACTTACAGTAAAAACTACTTCTTTCCTAGGCAGAGCAGTGGTTTGCATTGATTCTGAGTGACGAGGTGGAGACTGCCACCAGTTCTTCACTTCAGGACAAAATTAACAGAAATATTTCTGGGAGACTGATGGTTGGCATAAGTAGTTATCAATAACCCACACATCTGGATTTGACAGTATTTGTGAATGTTTCAGTAAATTCCTCTTAACCCTGTGCCCAGCAAACTATATCACCATACACACCAACCCAGCAGCAAGCTGCTACCTGGTACTTTTTTAGTTAAGGTCACGACGCCACTGCTTTTGGATTGAGTATGACTAAGGACTGATCCATCTTTCTGCTTTACAAACTTCCATTTACTTTCCAAGTCACACAGACTAACTGAAGAGTGAAAGCTATTCCTAAAGAAGTTGTTGATCAGATTGCTCTTAGCAAACAGAGTATACCCTGAGAAGAATACCCAAGAAGTTACTATGTATCAAGTACTGTTCAATCTTTAACTGAAAACGTAATCTTATCTAACAATTATATCCTCACCACAGACCTCATGCTTTTAACTTAAAGCCATGGTTTGAATTTCAAGGTACAAAACCTATAGGTAGTAAGTACACTAGGCACTACATGGAGAGATAACCAGTCACGCTTAACAAAGACTTGAGTTCAGTTTCAGAAGTAGAGAATGGCAGCTGCCACTTGTCTGAGAAGGAAATTAAATTAAATTTGAGAAACATAGAGCAGTACTACTGGCTAAAATTCAGAAGCCTATTTTGCTTCACCTGCCAGTTTTGAAGCTTTCCTGAAAGTAACCAGGGAACTCAAAGAGGAAAAAATATGGTGTTTGCAAATTATGGCATTAAAAAAACCAAATCTGCATTGACCAAAGTCTTTTGCTACCTTAACAGCCAAAGTACAGACAGGGTATTTAACTGGTATTTGGCAACTGCCAACTGCAATATTACAACGTATGGGTACTTCTATAGCCAAATGTAAGCTGTACATGATTGCAAGACATGAGCAGCAATTACTATTCATCCTTTGATCCATCTGGAGAACATCCTGAGGAAAGAGCTCAAATCCATCTGATCAAATCTTGGGCCTCACCTTTTTTTTTTCCTTCCTGTTTTTTTATCCATCAGTTTCTGTCTCCATATTTTTTATCCATCAGCTTCTGATCCCCTGATGACACTGCGCCATGCCTACAGGGCACTCATTAATTCTGCCTCTAAACTGTGATGAATTAAGCAGCTTTTTATCCTGCTGTAATTCTATTCCACTGATGTTAAAGGGAGTCAAAACCCTTAATTCAGCACTAATCAATCTGATCCTCTAGCAAAAATCATTCATGATCATTAACATCTTTAGCAGCTGGATGTCATTCCACATTTTCCTGTTCCTCACTGACAGTAGCTGTGGCCAGATCTCAGTCTCATATTCTACTCCAAAACCAGAGATGAGGCTTATGAGCATTTCTCACTGTATTGTGAATGTCTTGTCCACCTCCTCAACTGTGCTGAATTCATTTATTCTTCACCAAATTGGGTAAACCACTCACTAGGTGACAGTATTTCTTTCCCTTCCCTTAAGTAGCCAGAAAGTGCTTATTATTTATTTGCATGTTCCACAGCAAATCTATTTTCCTTCTTCAACTTACAAATTCAAGCTGCATTTTTGGACAGGACCCCCTGAGCAAAAGCATCCCTAGAATTAAGATCAGCAACATGTAAAAACTGATCAAAACTGAACATATATTCACAGTTCATCAGTGCAGTCGTTATTGTCACTAAAAAACATGTTCCACAGCACTGTCAAATTTTGCCATTTTCCTTCTTATATGCAACTCCAAACCACAAACTGCCAAGAAAACGAAACAAAAAAAAAAAACAAACAGGATCTCAACATCCAAGTTTGTCCAAAACATTTCTGACCAACATCTACTAGAAACTGCGAAAAACTACTGGTTACATGTTATCCAAAGGATGGAGTGAAATGCTAAATGCTACTCAGTAGTTTACTCAGCTTTAGGGATGAAAGGGATCATCTTAGTAGACTTTTTCTTTCTTTAAAAAAATGTGCAATTTCCCTCTTAAAACACCTGATTGAAATTGCAAAAAATACATTCAAGATACTACATTTGAAACAGTTTCGCATTATTAAAAGCTTACAACTTCACTTACAACTGTGCAAAGTCCTTGCAAAGTCCTACTGCACAATGGTTAACACTGTTCCCTGTATCATTAGCATCAATGACAGTAAGCTGCAGTAAAATAAGCAGCTAGATGCATCCTCTTTAGCAATCAGTGCTACTGGAATTAAAACGCATTGAGTAGACAGGCTGGCTTCAAAGTGCTGAAATGCTTCCAGTCTATTCCTGCCATTGGCTTTCATTCTCAGAGTTGTTAGCTGTTCCTTCTGTTGTTTACAGTAAATATTCATCAGTAAGACAAGATGTAAGTTTATTTTATCTTAATATGCCAAAACTGAGGGAAAACATCCAGATACAGATAAAATATGGAATTAGTGGAACTTGCGGACAACTATTAGGCTGAATTCAAAAACTGGTGAGCCAGACAGAATGGGAAAGGGGTGGGGATGAGGTAGGGAACAAAAGTCATCTTTGTCCATAGAGAAGAGCTCAGTAGAAGATATTTTAGCAGAGGCCTATGATTCCCTCTTCCTCCCCTCCCATTGCATTACCTTTTGTTTTGACTGGTTCTCAAGGAATTACAGTACCCACAACTTAAAGCAAGTTTCAAGCATGCCACTTCCTTAAGAGGTACCTGCTTTCATGTAAGCAAAACCACAATCTTCCTCTGCTATACAGAATTACACAGAATAAAAAAAAACCCACAGTAGATCACTCAAACAGTAGTGCCTGAATCAGGGCTACTGTACTGCACAAAGCACTATGGGGCTGTGTACACTACATCAGCTGTTAACTATAGGGCCACTTTCCTCCCAGACATTCTTGCCCTTCAGCTCCCCTTTCCAGGCTCACTCATGTAGCTTCTCCCACAACCCGAGTCCCAGTTTCTAGCTGAGAAGCAGTACTTAAAACTAACAGATTTGAACGTTGTTAATAAAAAAACCCAAACAAACCAAAACCTGAAGATATAAAAAGCCCACCTCCAATTTAAGGACCACACAAAGTCTTGATACCTCCCTCCAAACCAGAGGTGCTAGGCTTGGCAATGATTTTTTTGCTTAATGTCTCAACTGCTCAGCCAAGCATCTGTAGGACAAGAATTTTATCACACTCTTCTCTTAAAAAAAAAAAAAAAAAAAAGGAAATCCAAAATTAGGTACCAGGCTGCTGAGATTTTCAACGTGAACAGCTGAAGTCTGCCAAAATTATACAGGCACATAAGTGCACTCAGCTTTAGTTGGGGATTTTCCCCTCACTGCTGTTCATTAAACATGCTAAATGACAAACAGTCACTGTGAACCTCACCTACAGTAGCAAGTAGAAACAGCAGCTAATTTGTATTCCTTCGTGCCATTCATATAGTACTCATGAAACGCCAGTAGCTGTACATTACCCTCTAAAATGCAAAGATCACAATGTTTTCTACAGGATATACCGAAACATAAGTGGATTGATTCAATGCAGCCTAGCAAGCTGGTCATTTAGTTAATCCTTCGGGCTCGACTGCTCGAATTCACAGAGATACTCAGATCACACCCAGTCTCCAGTATGCGACTATTTGCCTACCGCGACGGAGCAGCTGAGGGACACGATCGGGATGACTCCGGCATGAATTCCAGCTGCTGATGCCAAAGGACCACGAAGTTATGGCAGCTGGGCATTTTCTAGATGACTGAAGCGTGGCACGGCGATTTCCCGTTACCTATTCCTGCTCCCAGGAATAGGTAACGGGTCTGCTGACAGAAGACCCTACAGGTCTGTCTATGTGACCACATTATGTACGTGCCCTCATGCAGCACAGGGAAAGCGAAGGGGCGCTAACTTTGCGGCACAGTCCCCACTTCCCGTGTTCAAGCGGGGTGTGATCAGTCACTCCCGGTGAACGCCACGGAGGAACTCACGCCCGTGCAAAACACACGCAGCGGGTCGGGGGGGGACGACAGGGCAGCGCGGAGGCCCAGCTCATTCCCGGCCGCGCAGGGGGACCGGCCCGTGGGGGCTCGCGCTGCCAGTCTCCAGCCCAGCTCAACCCACCAGCCCAGCCCTGCCCGCCGCCGGCCGCAAGCGGCGGAACAGCCCCAGCCCCGTTCCCGGCCCAGCCACGGGCGTGGCGGGGGCGCCCAGGAGCTGACAAACAACAAACAACGCCGCTGCCCCGGCCCCATCCCGCCAGGCACAGGCGTCGGGACGCCGGCTGCGCCCTCACGGCAGGGCTCGGGAAAGGGGCACCGGGGCGGCGGCGGCACCCACCACGTCCCTGGGGACCCGCCACAGCGGCACTCACGCAGGCAGAGCTGGGTGACATAGGCGTAGTAGGACCAGCAGAGGATGCTGGAGATGAAGAGCACCGGCACCCAGTAGAGCAGCCGCTGGCAGCGCCGCCGCACGCCGCCCCAGGTGCCCGCCGCCCTGGCTGGAGGCGGCGGCGGCGGCGGTGCCGCCATCTTCCCGCACCGCATCCCGTCCGCCCGCTCGCTCCGGGGGCCCGAGCCCCGGCCGCGCACCCCGCCGGAGCCCGCCCCAGCCCCTCCCTCCCGCGCTGACAGGGTTCTTCGGCATGGCCGCTCCTCCCACTTTCTGCCAGCCTGCCTCTCCTCCGGGGCAGCGTCGGGCTGAGGAAGGGCTGCCCGAAGGGCGACAACCCCAGTCGTGGTCCTGCAGGACCCGTCGCCGCCGGCCTGTCAGGAAAGGGGACTTCCCCGCCGCCTCCCGTGAGATATAGCGGGAGTAGTGGGACGCACTCCTTGAAGTTGGGGTCCGGGCCCTGAGGCAGCTCGGCTCCCTCCAAAATGAGTTTCATGCCTCAAGCACCTAGGACATGCAGGAGCGCTTGGGTATTAGGTGGCTGGAGACACCCACAACATCTTCCCCCATTGTAAGGCCCAGTGTGGCTTCTTCCAGCTTTTCCAACCTCCAAAATAAGTGGATACTTAATGGAAATACTTTAAAACACCTCGTTAGGAAGGGCACTGCCTCACTTGTGAATCATGTCTCGGAGTAAGGTACAACAGTGGCCAAGTGTCGCAGGCAGTCATGTCATGGTGAGGCCGCAGTGGCTGGCCCCGTGCTTGTCAGATATTCGGCCAAGGGAAGGCGGCGTAGGGTTGTGCTGACTCACTCCTTCCCGAATAGTGTTATGGCCATCATAATGAAATGCCTGTGGAATGTCATAGTAAACCCAGGCTGCGGTGCAGTGTTGGTGAATTACTGTTGCAGAATTAGAAATGCCAAGCACGGCCCGTAGTATTTCTGCAATCTGCTATAGTCTCTCAGAGCACTGGCAGCATGGGAGGTAGGCAGGAGCTTGGTTAAAATGTGTTTGGACTTTGAAAAAAGGCTTGTGTAATACCACACGCTGGAGACTGAAGTGAAGTGATCACAGCATGGAAGGTGTACAACTGCCTTTGATAGAGAAACAGGCTGCGAGGGAGGAAAAAAGCTAGGGAAAATATGACAATACAATAGTAGGTGTGCTGCCAGGTTCCAGAGGATGAAACAGAGAGACAGGAAAAGAAGTTAACTATGGCTGCTGTATTTTCATGTAATGCAAAACCATGTGCCCCCCCTTATTGTAAGAGGAAGCAGAGGAATTCGTATAGTTATTATAGAAACGGATGGAATATGAGGTTAAAAAATGTGAACATAAGAACTTAAGAACTTAAGAAAAGATTCTGCATAATGGGGAATTATGTATTATACATCAAAAAAAGCAGAGATGTAATTACTGGTGCTGAAAAACTACATTTGATATTCCTGCATACTGTATTTCACCAAACCCAACATGACATAAGCAATAAACCCTCTTTAGCTTACCACAATTAATTATGGAAGTCACCACATTTTAATACAATAATTAAAGGATTTGACTTCAGTATGTTTTAATGAGAACATCCATAGTTATACAAAACAGACTTTAAAAGTATAAGGAATAAGATTACCCCATGTTTTACAAGCAAAAGTGAAAAGAAATTAAGGTAATTCAATTCATTTGCTGGCTTTTTGCACTAATTTGAGAGCAGCTGACAGTGACATTTCTCAGGTGCAAACAGTAACACAACTAATGAGTTGTGTGTTTCCAGAGACACACCTGTACCACAAGAAGCTAGCAGCTAGATGCCCTATGTATAAGGATGAAGGAGGTTTTGTATTGTACTGGGGGGGAGGGGGGGCAATGAAAGGCTTCCTCCTATAAGCCATTTTTAAATGTTGTATGTGTTATGGGGGTTGTTAACAAGAACACATATCAGGGAAACATAGTAAACATCAGAGAAAGCTTTTGAATGCAGTAATTATTTGAATTAATAGTTATTATACAAAATTCTGTACATAGAGAGATGGCAGTTTGCTAGAGATAATGGAATAAAAAGATGATGTGTTACAAAGACCTCAAAATAAATCATACAATTCCTGGTATTAATTCCTAGATAATAAAAAGAGGCTTTTTATTACCCTTTCATTGAAATGAGCTTTCTAACTCTTAACTAATTTATAAGTTCAGGTTCAGCTTTCTAACTTTCCTTTGGCCACTATCACCCTTTTCTCACTGCTTGGATTTCACAATAATCCGAGTTTTCTTGCTTAGTATGCTAATAATTACACGAATAATAATTATTATAGCATACTCTTTACCAGAGCTCCAAAATCATGGCCATTCTGGTTAAAATTTAGCCCATTTAGTCAAATAAACAGGCAAATCTCACTTTAATTTAGTTGTAGTCAAATAAACAGGCAAATCTCACTTTAATTTAGTTGGGACAAAAAAGCCTGCCTTGACTGACACTCCCAGTTACCTTGGAGCATTCTTTGGTCAGAGACCTGTAAAGAATTCTCCCCTGCCCTTGCACTCTTGACTTCTCCCCCTGGATCTGGGCTCTCTCGCTCTTTTTCATGCTTACAGTTCCTTTCTGTTCCTTGCACAACTCTTACCACTGGGTCATATGACACCCTTGTTTCTCTGCCTTTCCTCCTCCCTCCACGATATAACCTGCATAAGTTTTAGGTAACAGCAGAACAACTTGAGAGTGAGCATATTCAAAGGAGTGTTATGGCAGAAGTAAATCCTGGAATAATCTAAACCATAAGGTATTCATGGACAGATTTCCCAAATGACTCTGCTCAGGCAGCCTCTTTCTACAATGAGAGAGGTTACTTGGAACACAGATAGTTGATGCTTGTGTGAAATATTCACAAGCTAGAGGAAATGAAGGTAATTTACAGGCTTTTCTTCTTGTCAGAAGCTGGTCTGAAGATAGCTGGAGTTTGGGGAGGAGGCTTGAGTGTCTGACAAATGAAAACAAAATGTTCTTAAGGGGTAAACTCAGCTTTTCCCCTCAGGCAAGGTGTGTGCAAAGCATTGCTGGTGGATTTTTTTAAAGAAGCGTCTCTCCTGGAATACATTTGGGTATTTCTAACATTGCCACGTCTGACTGTATCAAATTGTGTGACCTAGCTAGTGTGAAGGGGCTGCCTCCTGCAGCTCTGTGGCTGGGCATCCTCCTGCCTGGCTGCTGGAGGCTAGCCTGGGGACCTGGCATCACTGCATTTTGACATGGTCCTTGTCCATCTGATCTTGCTTGAGCTAGCATCCTCCTGTTCCACACCCCCTTACCAGTCAGTCTGGCTGGTCCCCACTATTGTCTCTGAGTGTTGTTCAGTTGGGTTTGTGCTTCTGTATGTTTGGCTTCCCCCCTTCTCCTTGTCACACCACTTGACAAGGTCCTTCATTACTGAAGGATGACTTTAATGAAGTAGGAACCCTCTCCTTCCACATATGCTGACAGGTAGATTCCAGCTGGGCTCAGACAAATAACCCAGCTGGATAGATAGAGTGGACATAGTGCCTGTTTCTGCAGGAAGGCATCCCAGTACCCTAACATGCAGCCCCAATTAAAAAGTTTTCGTGCACAAGTCTAGGGGCTCTACTTTGGTGAACCACCTTTAGATAAATAATTACATGGTGGTTCTAATTGTTGACATTAAAAGTTCATTGATACTTATGGTCAGGTGATGCTGCATTTCTACAATGCTCATTGTAAATGGATACTATTCAGAGCATTTCAGGACATTTAAGAAGTAAGAAACTACTAGAAATTCTGGTGTGACTAAGTCATCTATCTAGAGCAAACAGTAGTAGGAGGTTTTTACATGTCTAATGAAGTTACACAGATGTCCTGAATATATTTTTTTAAGATGTGATAAATAGTTCCTGATAATGGTGGCAAAATGGAAGGAAGGAAAAAAGCACGCTTAACATATGGCAGAGAAAAATTACCTGTTACTGGTAATGCAGCATAGCAAGTGTCTTTGGAGCTCAGTTTTGTGCCAGTTTGAAAGGTCATAAAATAAGAATAAAAAAATAAAATGAGCATTTGGCTAACATTACGATAGGATTCATTTAGCCTCTTGGGGATTTAATATCTAAGGCTGGCTACAAATGTTCATATTTGCTGTCCATTCATAGATTATGATGAGAAGCTTGAAACATCCTATGTGTATCTAGCTCATTATATGTCAGCTAAAAAATTACACTGAACTCTTAAGACTACCATTACAACTGAGTGTGGAAAAGTAACACTTCATGTTGCTGGATCATTTTAAAATGTCACAGACCTACTGTGCTAGACCAGTTTGAAAATGATAAAGCATGATACATTTTTTTAATCTCATAATAACTTCCTGATGATTTTAATCACGGTATTTATTATTTGGTCAATTAAAAAAAATCCCAAATTGTATGCAGAATACAGTGAATAATAAATAAACCCACATGAAAAATGCTTTTAATTTAACAAGTATTTTTCAGATTAGGAATTTACAGTTTATAGACTCTGAATATCTCCTCCTCTATGTAAGCAATCTGATATGCTGGAATACTTTCTCTCCTGCCGCTTCCCACATATTCAGTGGAACAGCAAGAAGAGGAGTGATAATAGGACAGGAGTATAAATCCTTGCTCTCACAACAGTGCAATACACAGACCAGCAGCCAGAAGCAGGAATACACATGGACACAGACAAACAGGTACACGACACTAATGACGTGACCCAGGGGCTCTGCAGGGATGCTCTCTACTTTCACAACAGCGATCATGCTGCTTGATTCTCTCTAGAATGCTTGGGTGTTGGACCACACTTAACACACATGGAAAAAGAAGCCTCTCTGCAACATCACTTACATCTAACATAAGACATCGCTTAGAAAATCTATGTTGCATCCCAGCTGGAGTCAAGTACCAACCATGTGTAGTTTGTAGCTCCCAGCTACATGAAAACAAGCAGCTTGGTTGCCTCTCCTGTCTCGATCTAGCTGTCAGATGCATTTTAATTGAAGGACTAGCCCAGATGTATTAATCCACTTGCTCTCACTTCATCCCAGATAGGAACTTAGTTATTTACAAGTGGAAATTTGCCTGGTTCTCCACAGGAAAGGCTCATTTTGTTCCTTTTCAAATAATGAAATCCTTCCGGGAATTCCCTGATTGCAACCTGTCCTGTTTTCAGCTGGGATAGAGTTAATTTTCTTCCAAGTAGC